CACAAACATACGTACTTATTTGAGCGTTACGTTTTGGATGACATCCAGGGTTGCAAAACAATGATTTGTAATCGCTCGAAGCTGATGACACCTCGAGGCAGCAGAAAGACAAGGTCGCGTTGACGCAACCTAAGGTAACCTTGGCGCCGCTCAACATTATCCCATTCACAACACAGAAGATTTAGCATGAAGGCATCCGCGTCCTTTTCCACACCGCTACCATGCGCGTGGCATTCTTTAGTCTGCTTTCTTGTCCTTCCCTTCCTCGTCGTCTGTGTACTCCGTCGGCTCCTCGCCGGGCTTCAGCAGCTTGCCGATGTAGTCGTATTTAACTGGAACGGCAGAAAACGGGACAGATGTTTTGAAATTTCCCCTTACAGCTTGACAGTCAACACGAGCATGCGTTTCACAATAGCAGCTTCACCGGAAGAAAATAAAAAGGTCGATATGTGAGACGGCGAGACCCTTGCTGGCACTCACACGTGAACTGCGCCTCCCACTCGGAGAGGCTCTCCTGCTGCGCGGCGCTCAGGTCGGACAAGTCGTCGTGCTTGTCTTTCAGGGCCTCCTGACCCAGGCAGAAGGTGGCCAGGCCTCGGGACGCGTCCCTGCCGGCGAACACGCCGTATGGACCGTCTGGGGAAACGCAAGATGGACATTGGACTGACACGTAGAATGAAACAACCGCAAACAATTCTAAGAATGTGCCTGCAAGTGAGTCTGTCTGATTTTTGGCTAATTTACTGTACATGATTGCACGACCGCACCGAGTGTAAGAAGTGCTGCCTTTGTGAGTGAAAACACTTTCCTCTTTTTTTGGGGTGGATTGAGTTTTGTTGGATGCAGAGGTAAGTGGCGCACACATGCTTGATTGTGGCGTTAGGAACACAATGGATGGCATGAGAGTGTGGGCTGCATGCGCCAAGTGCATGGATCTGCACATTGATTGCCAAGTGTTTGAAGTGCTGCCACTGTGAGTGAAAATTATTTGTCTTCACAAGTTTCCCCCGCGCTACCTAATGCACTCAGTTGCGCTTGCTTTGTTTAACCTCCTCAATCGGACCCCTGTTCTCATGGTAACAAAAGCCGACACCCGTTCAAAATAGGCTAATATCAGAAAGTGAAAGATAATTCCCGCATTATTTTAATGAAAGCATGTCATTAAGACACCTGGTAACTACAGATACACACATGATTTTTTTTTTCAGGGCCGATACTAATTACTTTACTTCAAGGAGGCCGATAACCGATATTTAGAACAGACGTTCATTGGCAGTAGAATGGAAAATATTGGTGTAAAAAAAAAAAAATCATATGCAAGGAGCTCCAACCAATCAGCAACAAGTCTCATAAAGTTAAATGAAAACTTTTCTACAGTAAATTAAGCTTTCCAAAAGTTCAAAAAAGTCAAAACATGCCTCCTTGCAAACTTTATCTTTATTAATCATTAAGGGGCATGGTGATTCTGTGGCTGGGCGTGTACCGCAATGAACGAAGAAAAAAAAAAAAAGGGTCCCTGCATGACAGCGGTGTGATCTCAATGCTGTTCAGAGGTTACACGGAGCAGAGGTTGCAAAGCTCAGATGAGGTAAAGGCGGGTGCGAATTTTCTGGGTTGCAAAATTGTCAAGTAGCGCAACTTGGCATGAAACCACGCTGAGCTCTATTCCGAATATTTTGGAGAACCCGACTCGGCACTGAGTGCCATCAAGTCTTCGGTCGAGTCGCTTTCTCGGAATGCGGCCAAAACAAACAAAAACAAAGACAATGTGTACTATCGCAACGCACTTTACATGATTTGTCAAGTCGACACGAAATTTCATCTCGTTGTTCGCGGCAACCGCACTACGAAACATCGGATGACGAAAATAGCAGCGATAAGGCGTTCGGCCTCGGTGAAACTTGGCGCTAACCCGGCCCGTAGAACTTGCTCCCCCTGGTCACGTCGAAGACTTTGCCATTGACAGCCATGAGGATTCTGGGACTGCGCAACCCATCGTAAGGCTTCAACTCTTCCAGGGTGAAGTCTCGCTTCTTCAGTTTGGGCAGCGGCTGCTCCGCCGGGCCCACGTCCGGCGGCTTGTCGCCGCGGAAGATTTTGTACAGCAGGTAAAGACACAAAGCGAGCAGGGTCAGGTTCAAAGGGGACGTGAAAATCTCCTGTAAGATTCCGTCTGAAGTGGTTTCGAGCTCATCTACTTCAGCCATGTTTGAGTCTGGCCGTGTTTTCCGCTGTGTGGGCGTGTCTGGAGAGTGGGAGAAGTGAAGAGCTTTCAGCCAATCAGAGAGCCCGGATATGTGACGCCTTATCGACCTCATCCAATCACATTACGCTTAACTTACATCAAATACGTACAATAAAACAGATTCAATCGATATTGGATCGTGGGGTTAACCAAACGCGGTCAACAAAGCGTCAAACGTACTTCCATGCAATTCATGTAGACATGAATATTTTTCCAATCGTAAAATAGCTGTATTTATTCAACATATAATATACAATGTAACGCGGATTATCATTATTATTATTATTTAATAATGAATATAATAATGATTCCAAAAGAGACTTTCAGTTTCACAAACACAACTAAAAATAACTTTGGAGTGCACGCTTGTTTCTTCCGTCCTCATACAAGCCGCAGTGACGTTTGTGAGTAGTTCCCACCCCAACAAACAAAGCTGAATTCGAATCATACCCCGTCCCCCCCACCCCAACCCAACCCGCTTCCCGAACGCGTCGCTCAGTTCTTCTTTTAGAGCATTCATCCACCATTTCAATAAGAGCCCCGGTTTGATCAATTGGAAACTATGCTCATGTTGTCTTTCTGGAACCTTTTGGAGCTCTGGCGTTTTCTGCCATTGCGCAACAGGGGAGGGCACGTTCGCCAATAGCAGCCGGCTTAGCTTAGCTTTAGCTCACTTGAGCTGGACAGAGATGACAAGCGCCTTCACTGCCCCTTTGTCGCCCGTCCAAAACATTTCGTAGCTGCCGATGTTCACTTGACGTTTTCGGCTTTCTCTTGCTGTTGTTGTTGTTGTTGATGGAGACGTGTTGAGTCCTGCTCGCTGCCAAGTAAGATCTCTGATTTTACCCATCGCCACTAGAATTGAATCATGTATTTAGCGAGTTAAATAAAATGACAGCATACGCGGAGTAGTTTGTTTCAAATGAGTATAAAGCCACCCGGAAAAGATGAAAACATACATACAAGAAAATACATAAATATTACGCAAGGAAGTGAAAGTTGTATTATTTCAGAAAAAAAAGTTGTTTACTGCATTCACGAGACAGTCTTATCTTCTCAAGACGAAAGCTATAATTTCACGTTCATAAAGTGGTATAGTTGAAGAATTTATGTTCAATATTAAAGTTCAAATTTCAAACAAATCTGCTTGTTTTGTACAATTCCTTCGTAATTCCATCCCAGAATGTATTAGGATGACCAATAGTGTGGTGCATTTTTT